GAGAGGGAATTGCAAGCAATAAGATTGGACAAAACCGGTTGGTTTGATCATATGACATCTTCTTGTATATCTTATTGATTTGGTTTATAACATCTAAAATTTGTGTTATGGGTCTTTTTTTAAATGCTTGCTTTGCATACTGTTTACTTAGCAGGCTTGGGCTAAAGAGGATCCACTGAGAAAACAGAATAAAGAATTGCAAACTTATAGGTACCATGTGTTTGCGGCATGATTGCAAACTTAACTCAATTACAAGCTGAAAAGTATGCTATATTATCCTTCTCAATTCTTCTCCGGGTGCTATAGAAAGAGATTGCGAACTTTGATTCCAATGGAATAAGAATGAATGCCTGCATTTGAGGTGTTTGATTTGGTAATTTTGGTTTATTGTACTTCTGTAAGGTGTTACTTGTTTGTGAACATATAAGTAATGAGTTAAAAAAAAACAGTATCACCACCTAATAGGCTAATATGATTGTTTCTATAATTGGGGTCTGGCGATGAATTAGCTTTAATTTATTTCAATGTGGCTCATATATTTGCAGAATAGAGTGTGGCAACTCTGAAGCTAAAAGAGCTCAGAATATTAAACCAATTTATGAACTTCAGGAGCATATAAAGAACGTGTATGCATGGAATTGCAGGAACAGGTCAGTCAGTACACATATGCCATAGTTTCAGAACATACTTTCGATGCTCTGTAGTATAGTAACAACTCTTGCACAGAAACTTTGTGTATTCAATTGTTTTTACAAAATAGTTGCCGTCTAGAATTTTGCAGGCTGACAGTTTTGAATTCTTTTTAATCTGCATTCCAGTGAATTGACAATGTTAAGCTACTATTTCTCGTTCTGGTTTTTGCTATTTTTGCTCCTTTTTCACAACCTATCTTCCGCCATTGGGCATTGACCCTCGCGCAACGCGTGTGCCAATGCTAGTATGTATATATATATATATATAATTATATTGTATATTAATTTATTAATAGTTTTGTGATAATCGGTTTTGAAATAGTTTTGTTTCCTTTGCTAGAAGTAGGATTTTAAATTGAGTTGCAGTAACATCCTTTTGTTTTCAAATTATTGATTAAATGTTTCATAAATATCGTATTACTTTTTATTGTTATTGAATTATTCCTTTTTATGGAATTTAATTATTTGTTAAAGATGATTTTGTTATATTTTTTGTATTATATTGTTATTAAAATATATAAATTATGTTTACCACCCACCAAGCATGTGTCAACTTTGGCTAATACTGAAAATTTAATATTAAAAAAAACAATCACTTTAATATGTGATGTTAGACAACATGTTCAAATACCAATGTTAGAAAATATGTATGTTGGCTATGTTGCATATTTTTGGAATTTCTTTAATTGTTTGAAATTTATATACAAGAAATTATGGAGTATTGGACTTTTTCGCTTGTGTTATATGTGCATCACTATATTGTTATTTTGAAACTTCCTAACGTCCTATATTATTGATTATTGATTTTTGGAACTTTGTGAGTTTTTACTAATTTCAAGACATGAGAATAGAAACCGTAAAACCTGGACCGGACCGACCCGTTTCAAACGGGCCGAGTAATTTCCGGTTCCTATTTTGAAAATTGTAATACTCGGATCAGACCGAACCGTACAATGGAACCGGCGGTTCCATTTTATTTTGCATTACCCGCCCAGACCCGGCCCGTGCCCAGCCCTACGTTCTATCACTTCTATGTGCTAGACACCTCATGTTTAATATCATTCCTAAAAAAAGGACTTAACACATACTGTGTATACCATAAATGCTTTCGTTGATCGATACTATCAATATTATTATTGTGATTATTATTATTATTATTATTATTATTATTATTATTATTATTATTATTATTATTATTATTATTATTATTATTATTATTATTATTATTATTATTATTATTATTATTATTATTATTATTATTATTATTATTATTATTATTATTATTATTATTATTATTATTATTATTATTATTATTATTATTATTATTATTATTATTATTATTATTATTATTATTATTATTATTATTATTATTATTATTATTATTATTATTATTATTATTATTATTATTATTATTATTATTATTATTATTATTATTATTATTATTATTATTATTGTTGTTGTTGTTGTTGTTGTTCCTGTCGTCGTCGTCATCATCTATTATTGCCCTTTCATTATTGTATTTTATTACTGGCATTTGATTGTTGTACATCTTCTATTATTGCCCTGTGATTATTGTACGCTATTACTGGCATTTCATTACTGCGTGTCTCATATTACTGTTATTTCATTAATGTAAGTCTTTTATTACTGCCCTTTAATTATTGTACATATTCTATTAATGCCCTTTCATTACAGTACATATTCAATTACTGCACTTTTATTAATATTTTCAATTACTTCCTTTTCGTTATTGTCTTCAATTACTGCCCTTATATTTTTGTTTTCAATTACTGCCTTTTTGTTATTGTCTTCAATTACTGCCTTTTCGTTATTGTCTTCAATTACTGCCATTTAATTATTGTTTTCAATTACTGCCTTTTTCATTATTGTCTTCTATTAAGACTGCCTTTTCGTTATTGTGTATTACCAATTACAACTCAAAATACGACTACAATAGGTGAAGTTCTATCATAATTAGTCTAAAGCAATAATTTTCCGGAATCTTGCCTGAAAATATTGTTTAATTTTTATGAAATCAAATTTAATAACTTTTTATGATCTTTCCAATTGTATCAAAACTCTATATAAAAATTTGAAAAACAAAAACTTTTTTTTCTACATATCTTTTTTTTAGTTGGATTTTGTTTTTGATTTTTCATATGCAATATTGATATCATTTGAAAAATCATAAAAATAAAAATAAAAATTGATATACTTTTTTAAAAAATTGGATGAAAATTGAAAATTTTAAAACAACTACAAAATAATATGAGGGTGTTCACTAAGTTTCCCGTTAAATACGGAATATCATGTATCGGATATCGTGTGGTAACGACATTTCTTCCTAAACTTTTGCTCTGCATTAAATATCATTTATCCGTATTTAATCATGAATCATGCATACATCATGTATCATGTATCGTAGATAGTAAATTTTAGTCATACAACACATACATTATGTTTTTTGGTCATATAATGAGAAAACCTCTCTCTTCTAGTCATAGGGCCGTATTTTTCCCTACTAACAATATCAAATTGTGATACACAAATAATCAATGGGAGAATTGGAAACTAGTAGTTTTGTAATTTTTATTTTCAATTTCATATTTTAATTGTCAGTTTTATCTTCGGTGTTTTTAATAATTTATTTTATTTATAGAAACATGAAGATTATTTTTACATCTTTTAAGAATTCAGTGGTATATGTGCACCTCTCTATATATATACTTCAGAGTGCACTTCTCTCCTTTTATAGAATATCACTCACATGTTCTCTAAATAATATCCGTAGTACGTAGAAGTATTGATATACTCCGGTATTATTATAACGCAGCCCATGTGCAAGAAAAGAAAGGCCAAAAGTAGATTCGGCCATCTTATACTCCCATTCCAATTCAATCGGCAATTCCAAAGTCCCAAGTTCCAAGACTTCAACAAATACAATGGCAGGCAGCCCATGAAAATTAAATTAGTAAATAATTAGGAAATAGGAACCAATCGGAAACAATTTCACCGGTGGTTACAGAGTATAAATTATGAATCCTCTAAATTTCGTATGTATGGTTCATCTTCTTGATTATTATGTAGTTGAGTTACTTAATTAGTTAAATTATTTCTAGGCCTAAGAGCTCGTTTGGCAACCATGTTTTTTGACTTATCAGACTTATCAGCCAACTTTTTCACCAAACACGTAAAATTTGCTTTCGTGCGCTGGATTGTGTAATAAGCAGAAAATGTAAGGTTGGAGTTACTTTTCTGGTTGTATTGGCTGAAGTTACTGTATATGACCATTTTAACTATTTTTACATATAATTTTTTCTTTATTTCATTAATAAAATACATTTTAAAAATAATTTTTTCTTATATCAGCAGAATCAGCCAATGCAGCCATTTCAACTAGAACTTCATAAATTTCAGCAAAATCAGCCAAAACAATCGATTTTCGTGCTATCAAACAGGCTCTAAGTAATTTATAATTCAATTCAACAAATTAGTTATATTATTTTATGTAATCAAGTAAATATATGGCCTTTTATTCAAATATTACAATTAATTAATGGATTTCCAATAAAGAGGGGGGTTTTGGCACAAATATTACTAAAAAATAGACAATAGACATAAAAGAGACCTTTTTTCTTAATTTCCAAAAGTGTGGCTAGTAAAAATATTGTTTACTAATGTACCCTTCGTTTCGGAGCACCGTAGTACCGTACCAGGCAAGTAGCGCATGGACCTTCATGATGCACACTCTCGAGCCTCGACTATCACATGCTTTTCTTTTTTAATTTAATACTATCGGTACTACGTAATATTCTTTTAGTGGACTCCATTAATGACTTTTTTTTTAATGTTATGTTATACGAGTACTAAATTACTAATATTATTTTAATATTTTAACATTATTTTAAAAACAAATATTAGGATGTGAAAATTGTGTGACAACTATCTCAATACCCAACAACCTAATTACTACTACTTCCGCTCAAGTAAAAACCATCTCAATTGTTATTAGCGGTCTTGTGACACCACCTCAGTTACTACCGTTCCAATGACGATTGTCTCAATTACTAGTAGCCATAAGCAATAAAAAATCTATCAGTGACCAAAAAAATGTCAGTGACCAAAAAACTTTTAGTGACCCATCCCACCAGTTACCTGCAATCCTCAATTACAATTACACGATTCGTTAGTTACAGTTACTCGATTCATCAGTTACAGTTGCTCGAATCATCAGTTACAGTTACTCGATTCGTCAGTCATAGTTACGCGACCCGATCAGTTACAATTACTTAATCTGAGTAATTACAGTTACCTGAACCGACCAGTTATAATTACGTGACCTAAGTAATTACAATTACTCAAACCACTAGTTACAATTATCCGACCGACCAGTTATTGTTACCTGACCTGAACAATTATAGTTACCCACCTTATCAGTTACAATTACTTGATCCGACCAATTACATGTCCAATTACATTTAACCGATCAGTTACAGTTGCTCGATACTAATTACATTTATTCAAGGCGATAGACACCACCGGTAGCACCAGCCGGCCACCAACATGGGTGACCCGTCGCCGCCCTCACTCCGGTGGACAACCTCCCCGGACCGACTCCAACCCAACCCCACCTTGCACCCACCAAACCCCCTGTCCTACCCACCCTTACCCCCCAGCCCCACCTTTGTCTAACACCCTGCCCCTCCCCTGCTTCCTTAGACCCAGCCACACCATAATCCAACCCCCTGTCCAGCCCCCTCCGCAGCTCCAGATCCGAGTAGCCAAGACCCAATTCGGCACCTTCCAGGCCCCAGTTCCGACCAGCCATCCCCAGTCTCACAAACTAGCCGCCGACCACCCCCTAAATGCACCGCAACGATAGAATCCCTAGCCGCACGGCCGGGATGAGAAGCCAAAGCCGCACCGCCGGGATGAGAAGCCATAGCCGCACCGCCGGGATGAGAAGCCATAGCCGCACCGCCGGGATGAGAAGCCATAGCCGCACCGCCGGGATGAGAAGCCATAGCCGCACCGCCGGGATGAGAAGCCATAGCCGCACCGCCGGGATGAGAAGCCTATCCACCGTCGATTCAACCCCCAATCGGTCAAAAAAAACTAGATCCAAACTAGCGCACAACATATCGAGCTCCATCGTCAAAGCCATTACTTTCGGGAATCGGGAGTGTTTTTTTATTTTATATTATGGGCATTTTGGTCCATTCAGTTTAATATAGTCTCTTTTTTGTCTTGTTTCAAGTCAGGTCTTATTTGTGTCGGGTCATAAGCTGGTAGTACTATCTAGGTCATTATTTCATAAAGAGGGTTAAGTTTCAAAAAGTCAAAAATATGACTGCCAGCTGTTATGCACTAAACCGTTGCACACTAATCCATTTAACACCACCTAAACTAAAAAGGCCATTAATGAATTTAATACTGAAAAATAGGAAACAGATTCTTTTGCTGTCCACAACAACAGTCGTACCACCGGCGCTGCCAGCAGTCATGCCTCACCACCGCCCAGTGACTTTGCTCCGGTCATAGTGATCATAGCTCAGTGACTTGCTCTGGCTATAGTGACCGTCGCTCAGTGACTTGCTTCGCCATAACGACCGTCGCTCAATGACCAACGGCCAACTCCGGTCACTGAATCTGGTCCCTATCCGGTGACTACAGCCCAACTCCGGTCACTGTCCAGTGACTTCCGCCCAACTCGGTCAGTAACACCGTCCACCGCTAGTGTCACCCAATGACCGCCACCACCTAGTGCTGCCCTGCCCCCATCAGCCCCAACCCAATCCAGTCCTCTCCCCAGCCCAAGGCCAATGCCAGATCTATTCCCCTCCTTGCGCCATCCCGCTTTGAGAAACACCTCCCTAGCTCCGGGCCGGCGGCGGCGGAGAATGACCAGCCCTCCTTATACCGCTGCCCCCATCCAGCAAATACACCCAACGCAGCCTAGCCAGCCCCGCCACGACCCCACCATCCCTACCACCGCCCTAGCATAACCATAGCCGCCATCCCAGATCTAGATCTGAAAATCGTCTCTTCGCCCCATCGATTAGGTAAATGTCCCTTCGATGGACTTCCCACGATTGGAAAGAAATTGAAGAAGGAGAAGAGGATTGGTGTGGGTAGGGAGATGGAAACGGAAGGAGACGGCCGACGATGATGCCATGGGAGGTCGTCCGAGCTCCCCTTCCGAGAAGATGATGCGAAGCAGATGCCATTCGCAGGAACGATGATGCCGGATCTGTGTTTTAGATCTCCAGATGATAAGAAGCAGATGATGCGAAACAGATGATACGAAGAAAAAGGATGACACCCCATCCCTGAGGGCCCCCCAACACCGACCGGACGGCACGATGGGAGGATGTAAATTGGACTATAATCACAATCTGACAGATAGGGAGTGGGGCTCTGTCCCCGGTACTTGCAGAAGCCCTATGCATTTTTCATCATAGTAACCCCTCATCGCAATTGCCGGGATTCGAACCCGAGACCTAACCCTTGTGGCACTCCCTCGCTACCAGTTGAGCTACGCCCACCGGTAGATGATACGAAGGAGATATGGAGATGTGCTCTTTCTTAGATGGTCCGTATGTTTTAATAACAATTGTCATATTTTAGGGAAATAGAAAAAAGGTTATACTTTTGGGATCGAATAGTCTAATAGTAATATACAGGCCATTATTTCTAAATATATTACATAATTAATGATTTTAACAAATTGATAGAATCACAAAAAATGAAAAATGAAACAATTATTTAAAAATCAATTAAATAAAGTATTTCAAGTATATTTTTAGGGTAAACTATAAAATATATATATAACTTAATGAGGTCACTGATGATAAGCTAAGCGTGGTGTTTTAGATGTATTATTTTTTATATTTGATAATTACTTATCATTAAAGAATGCTAATTATTCCCAAGATAGAAATGGAAAGCTTTAATTGGGAAAGTGGTAGTAATATTTTTGGGTTTATAAATTATAATCTACAGTTCCTACTCAAATGAAATGTATTTTGATAATGAACACTTTTATTTGGACTATTATAATATCACTAAATTGTCCTTTACATAAATTTTCGCCAATGTATTACTTTATTATCTTTAATTTATTTATGTTTTATTTGTATTAATGTGAAAAAAAGAAGGCCCAGCTTCTTTGGGTGCACTAGGCCCCCATTTCTCAGCACTGACCCTGCTTGTAGGGGTGGTTCGGTACGGTATACCTTATATGTTTTCTCATACCTTTGCCGTACCAAAACTTTCGGTATGCAAAATTTGCATACCTTAACCTTACCGAAGTTTCGGTATACCGCATTTCGGTATACCGAAGTTTCGGTTCGGTAACGGTACGGTATCGGTAAATACTGTGCATGTCTCCTAATACAAAAAATTATCATAGACTAACGAAACATACTAAATCGTTATTACTAGCGACATATTAAATCTATCATTAAAATGTTACGAATTACAATTAATAATCTATTGATGTCAATTCAATATTGATCAATAATTATTATTAGTATATTTAAGCAGTTCAACATATCACATATTAAAAAGTAACACATTCTTCTAAAATAACTTGAACAATATAGATATAATTAAATCAATAGTGATTTCTAACAAAAATAAATAAAACTATTCAAACAACATGGATATAAAATCATTTATTCCTAATATGATATTGTGTATTTAGTCATTTTTATAATTTTTTAAAAATTGAATAAGACTTTCGACAAAGTTGTGTGTCTCGACTCGCTGAATCCCTATGTAGATACACTTGTCACATAAGTGTATCTCTTTTCACTCTTCAGCTACTTAGCGGCCCAGCCATCACGACTTGCAAGCTCTTGGAACATAATGGACTGGTTTCTTGACATTTGTGCATTACTCATTAGTCATTTAAAGTTAGCGTAGTAGAAGCCTATAAGGTGATAGTGGGTTTGAGAAATTGGATCTTTATTTTTGTATTTTGTATTTGTAACCAACTTAAGTATTAATTTTGGGCTTCAAAATTGTAATGGATTTCTACAATATATTAGAATTAAAAGTAATTGCTGAGTAGGGAGTTAGTACGGTATTATACCGGTATACCGCGGTATTTAAAAACATTTACCGTTACCGTTACTGTACCGAAATAGACCGGTACGATATTATATTATTTTGGGAAGAAAACTAATGAGGTCATATATTGGAAAAGTGAATGAATTTTAATCATAATTTTCCCTCTTTTTACTCGTATATAATTGTGGCATTCAAGATGAAATTTTTAGATGTACTTTTTAGCCATTCATTATGTCAACAATATATTTTGGTATGAGGGCAAAATTAGTGTTTGGTGATTATATTTTGACTTGTTCACTGTACACGGGCATTATGACTTGATATTAACTAGTTATATTAACTAGTTATATAATGTCATTCAGAGGTATTCTGTTGGGTTTCGACCAGTGGCGGAGCCAGACATTTATAGTTAAAGGGGCCGGTCCTTAAAAAAATTACATTGTTGAGGCCAAAGTTTAAAATATCAACATACTTTCTATAGATTAAAAGTATTTATACATAATATATACTTAAGAATTTTTTATCTTGCAGGGGCCATGGCCTCCTCCAGCCCCTCCCTGTCTCCACCCCTGGTTTCGACCAACAACTTTCTAAACCGGCCTGTAGTGCTTGGTCTACTCTCTAAGGAGAGGAAAAACATCTCACACTACCTTACTTTAATGTACTACTTAACACTTCGATCCTACACATTCTTGTTGACCTTTGACTTTTTAAAATGAGGGCAGTTTACTTTGACCTTCATTACCACTTTTACTCCAATTATATAATGCAAAACTCATGATACTATTTTTATTTCGCCATATTTTAATCCTATTTAAGTCTTTTTATTTGAATGTGGGAGAGAGTTTTGAATTTACCAGCACACGAAGAGGGGCGACTGGCAAGGATCTTATCGTTAGCAGAGAAAGCGTCCATGGCGGTTTCCCAGCTGCTGATGACGACCGACCGTTGCATCCCGACCCGGATGCTGAATATGGGTCCGTACTCATCGGCCATCGCTCCCAATGTTCGAGCGAACGGCTGCTTCACGGCGGTTAGCAGCCGGAGGTGCCCGATCAGAGGCCATGCACCGGCCGCCTCCGGTGGCAGCAACCCCTTAGTATTGTTCTTTTTCATTCGCCCCCATGAAGTCATGCTCAAGAAAACTAAAAGCAAACCAGCTATGCCTAATAATAATATGGAATAATTGGACACCAATGAAAAGAGAAATTCCATAGCCATCTTCGTTAATCTTTGGTCACCTTATTTAGTTACTTTCCAATGTGTGCCATGCAGGAAACTGGGTGGTGTATATATATACACATCTGGCAATCAATGATTCTCTCAAGCCGGTCTAACAGGATCCCAAGACCATTTGGATCTTTACCGGTGAATTTTTATGATGACATTGTTTTAGTATATTTTTCAACAAATGCAAATTTGCTCCACAAAATTTTAATTTAAAATTCAATTAATAATTCAATTAAATAAATTATAAAGCATAATACACTTTATATATATAAATAAAGCGCAATACATTACAATAACTTTTTTTTTTTTTGAAAATACATTACAATAACTTATTTAACTAATTTTTCGATTGAATTTTTAAACTAAAAAAATCATCAAATCGGGAATCATTTTAAATTGACTCATGAGTCCATTTGAAATTCAGGCAAATTCTGATCAGCCGGACGACAAATTCTGACAAATTTTGTCAGACCAGCTTAAAAGGATCGTTATCTGCATATGGCCGTATTCTAAAAAAATGAAATTCTGAGTCCATTTTTGTTATGGCCGTATTCTAAGTTCTTGATCAAATGATGATTACTCCGTATATCAAGGTGGACTGATAGCATTTTTTTAGTATGAAATCATTGAACTAATTTCAAATATAAAATTTATATGAAAATATATATTTAAAGTTATCAAGACATGCAGATAAAGAAAAGCCAATATGAGGAAAGGAGTGCATGCCATTATTATTGACTATTGTATAGATGCAACTTGAAAAGATGTGGTTATCTAACCTCTGCGAGCACAGAGCACTTATTATTACATCTCTTACTCATAAATCATTGGCACGTTTGATAGCACAAAAATCGGCT